GGGGCGCCCTGGTGCTAGGCGGGTCTCAGGACATCCGAACGTCAATGCTGAGCGAGGACAGAGTGCAAGACCAGGAAATATATAGCCCAAGGGAAAGAGAGGGACAGGAAGGACAGCAGACCAGAAACTAGGGACAGGACAGAGAAGGAGCGCCCTCTGGCTGCAGAGGGCGTGACAATTGGCTGGCCAAAATGACCGACAGAGGCACCCGTAGTGCATTGGTCAGTAGTGAAAAGATTTAATCATTTAATCTCTTTACTGTGCACATTTTAATCCACTTAATATTGAATATGTATATGGAATTTTACAACTAAAGGGAAATTTTAGTAGCTGAGCATAAAAAGAAGAGGACCATAATGCATCTGAAGGTCATAAACAATATTAATTTAGGAACATAAACATATCATGTAAACTGTACTGTATGTGGCTGGAATTGGTAGTTTAAAGAAAAAATACACACCAGTATTCCATTTCTCCCTAAACATTTTAAGCATCAAAGTCTTACGTGGTTATTTCAGAAACGTTTTTATGTGCTCCTTCTGACCATATTACTGTACGTTTATATACTTTGTGAGAAAAGTGATAGTTTTAAGCTTTTCTGCAAATACGCTCGTTATCGGAGTAAACAAAAGCATGCTTTTAGAATTTGATTAATGGGAATATAATATGGAATCGCGTATCTAAACAAATTAATAACTATATAATTATATTCATGTACTATCTGGCAGAATAAACTGAAAAGTTCGTTAACGCGACACGGAATTATTAAGAATTATCACCTCTTTTTACAAGAGAACAAATGAGAACATTCCACTCAGTGGGCATGCATTGTTATCTCAATCACCTGTTAATTCGTTTTACGTTTTACAGGAGAATGTGATTGTACTGTATCTGTACAGATTGTGTATTGCGTTTACAAAATTAAAATGTTAACAGCGTATAATTAAAAAGTAAAACAAAATTAAAGCTTACACAAAGATTCTAACATGATCACGAGGAAGTGTATTATATGTCTAATGGTCTAGCCCCATTTTGATTAAAATCACAAACGCGTGTTTAATTAAATGCCTTTTTTGATTCACAATCTGACAATGCAAACCATAGTAAAGTTAGCTCGAAGTTCCAAAACGATTTTGGCACGCCTGTAGCATTTTCATGAAACCTCCTTTGCGAGTTGCGAGAACACTTGCTTTGTGTATAAAGTACAATGTGAATGTTTTTATGCCATTTTTTTTTTTACCACACACGAATATTCTTATATCCATATCTTCGCAAGGGAATCAGTGAAAATTTTAATACTAATTAAATGACCGCGGGCACTTTCCACCCCCTCTACTCTTTTCAGAGTAGAATAGTAACAAAATGTTTTGGGTTTTGCTTGTTCACATATCTTCCCTTTTTATAAAACGACATGGTTGAAAACTGTTCCAGAGCTACTGTTGTTTCATCAGTGAAAAATACATCATGAAATGCCTTTCCCTGTTCTTTCCATTGGAAAAAAGAAAAGGAGCATAAAGCGTCTAATGGTCATAAACGATATTAATTTAGGAACAGCATCAGAGATATTTTTTTAACTGCATCGGAGAGAATACCATGGAGCATTTACTCCCTGGCGGAAACTGGCTTCCATAAGAATCAGTATAGATTGTTGGAAATACATTTTTCCTGCATCAAAGTTTAACTCGTTCAGAGCGCCCTACATTACAACTCTCATTGACAGCTGACACTCCTCCATGCACTCAAGTTAAAAATTAATAACGTCAATGTAAACGTCATATTTGCAATTTGTTGAT